GAAGATGGGAATAGATGTTAGCTCAGGGCCAGTCGTTCTCAGCGAGAAGAGGAGGATTGGCGGTAGTTAGCTCAGGGCTAATCTTCCTCAAAAAAATAAAAATAATAATAAAAGACGTTATCAGGACAATTAATGAAATTTGAATAAGGTCTGTAGATTAGCTATATTATATCAAGTTTAATATCTTGATTTTGATCGTTGTATTTTGATAATTGTATTGTGGTTGATATTCTTATTTTTAGGTAATACACACTGAAGTATTTAGACATAGAGTATCATCACATCTGCAACTCCTTCACCCATGGTTCAGAAAAAATTATACACACATATACTCTCATGCACACAGATAATATAGGTATAAAGTTGGGGACAAGAAAAAGAGTAATAAAGCGAATGGGATAAAAAGTTCGCCACTGGGGAACCTGGTTAAAGAAATATATTTGGTCTTTGTCCATGGTTCCTGGCACAGAGCTCCTGCAACCCTTGGCATTCCCTGAGTGATAGGAGTGTCTTTTGTCAGTCATAAGGAGCCCCTTACTAGAACACCTGAGTTTATGCTAATGAGGCGACTAAGGCTGGGCCCCAAGATAGCCTCAGGATAAAGCTGGTCACCAGGAAGACCAAGTGATTAGAAGGTTGGAAATTTCAGCCACACCCACCAACCTCTGGGAAGATGGAGAGGATGGATATTCAGATCTATAAAAACTCTTAAGCAACAAGATTTGATGAGCTTCCAGGTTAGCGAAAGCATCTGCATCCTGGGAGGATGGTGAACCCCAGTTCTGTGGGGACAGAAGCTCCTGTCCTCAGGAGCCTTCCAGACTTCACCCTGTATACCTCTTCATCTGGCTGTTCATCAAGTTTACTGAGGAAGAGGAGCAGGAGGGGGAGAAAGAAGTGACAAAGGAGGAGGAGGAAAAAGAAGAAAGTTGCTGCTGGCAGCCATCTTAGAACCACACTGAAAAAGGCCATCTCAGAATGGAACAGACCCAGAGGAAGCAGAGCTGAGGTGGACCCACAGGAGTCTGTTGGAGCCCTATGTTAAGCTTTAAATTAGTTAATCAGCTATCCCTGTACTTTTCAGCTTACCTGAGTCAAATAATTCCTTTTCACAAGATTCGCTTGTGAAATATATAATAATTCACCAGATTCCAGTTGGAAGCTACTATATTTCTTTTGCTTTTTTTCGCTCTTTTTTAGTTTTTTAGTGGTTTGTTTTCAATCCCAAACGGCTACTGAAACTATAGAACAGAGTTCTAAGAAGCTACATACTTTGCTGACAAAACAGAAAAAATTAGAAGGAGGGAGAGGACAGAAAGGACTTAGAGAAACACAACCATCAAGGGTTACATGGACAACTCAACAACAAAAAAACAAACAACCTGTTTCAAAAATAGGCAAGGGACTTGAGTAGACATTTCTCCAAAGAAGACACATAAATGGCCAACAGATTGCTGAAAAGATGTTCAGTTTCACTAATCATTAGGGAAATGCCCATCAAAACCATAATCAGATACTACCTCACACCTATTAGGATGGCTACCATTAAAAAAAACTAAAACAGAAAATAATAAGTGTTGGTGAGGATGCAAAGAAATTAGAACTCCTATGGACTATTGGTGGGAATGTAAAATGGTGCAGGCACTGGGAAAAAGTATGGCAGTTCCTCAGAAACTTAAACATAGAATTACCATATAATCTAGTATATACTCGAAATAATTGAATGCAGCATCTCAAAGAGATATTTATACATTCATGTTCATAATAGCATTATTTGCAATAGCCCAAAGGTGGAAGCAACCTGAGTGTCCATCAATGGATGAAGAGATAAACAAAATGTAGTGTATACATACACTGGAATATTATTCAGCCTTGAAAAAGGGAAATCCTGGCACATGCTACAACGTGGACGAACCTTGAGGACACTATGCTAAGTGAAACAAGCCAATCACAAAAGGACAAATATTGTGTGATTCCATTTATATGAGGTCATAGATTAGTCAAATTCATAGAGACAGAAAGTAGAATGGTGGTTGCCAGCAGCTGAGGGGAGGGACGAATGCGTAGTTATTGTTTAACAGGTAGAGGTTTCAGTTTTCCAAGATGAAAGGAGTTCTGAGGGTGGATGGTGGTAATGGTAGGACAACAATGGGAATAAACTTAGGGACACTGAACTGTACATTGAAAGGATTATTAAGGTGGTAAACTTTATGTAATGTATATTTTACCACAATTAAAAAATAAAAGAATTACAAGGACGAAGAACTTGCTGTAGGATAGACTGAATGACTTACATAGTTTGTCCCGAGAACAGCTAGAGTAGAAAAATAGATCACCTAAAGGAGGTGAAAGTTCCTGAGGAAAAATAAAACGTGTTGTAAAACCCTAAGACAAATCTGTGTAGAAAATATAGCAGAAAATCAGGAAAACTTTAACTAGAAGGGTCTTTTACCCTGACACTTTGGTGTTATAAGACTATAAACAAAGTATTGCTGAATATGATCATTAGACATGGGCTGTCCCTATTATTCTAGAAGTTGTAAGAAAGATTACCTCTCCCTACATACTCCTCCAACCTTCTCATTGATGCCTTAAATTTCAATCTCTGAGGTTTATTATTTGGCTTAAGGCTTTTCTTGTATCCTAACCTTGATCCTGATGTTACCGAACACAAGCACACGTTCGTTTACCCACCGCGCAGGAGGGCCAATAACTGGAACTCCAGGCTTATGGGGAGAAAAGGGGTTTATTATTGAAAGGCAGCCAGGCAAGGAGATGGGAGTTAAAACTCAGGTCCACCTCCTCGAAGGAAAACAGGTAGGAGTTTTTGTCTGCAGTTTTAGGAAGGCAGGTGGGGCCTGTGGCCATGCTGGTTGGCACCTTCCCACCAGCCCATGTTTGGCCTTGAAGACTGAATTTCTTTTCCCTTGACTGTCTGGACTTTTCCAGTTAGTTCTCACCTTCAGTCTGCATTTGGCCTCGTGAGGCTGAATCTTGATGTCCAGACCTTGACTTCCTGGGAAAGACAGCTCACTAATGTACTGAGGGACAGAAAGAGCTGGTTAGTTTTAAACAGTTGATTCTGCTGAGTACGCACAGCTGCAGTTAGGAAAGCTTATCTCAAAGTTTTTGTTCTTTGTTTAACTTTTTTGTTCTCGGTTTCACTAAGTTTCAGTACTACATTACAAAAGCCTATTAAACATTCTCCACCAGTTCCTCAAACCAATATGTCCAAATGTATTATCTTATCTCGCTCCTTTAGATCTTAGCATTTCTGCCAGTCACTCCCCCATTTTCCCCCAAAGCTTGGAGTAATTTTCTTTCCTCCAGCTCCCTTGCCTTTATATCCACTCGGTGATTCGGTCCTGGCATGTTTCCTTCCTGACTATCATTTCTGTCTCTTCTTTCCATCCCCCCATTGCCCGTACCCTTTGGCTATTCCTTCCTGGATTGTTGTAACAGAATCCAAACTGGTTCTCCTCTTCCAGCCTCTCCCTTGCTCTATGGTAGGAAGACTAAACACACATTTACGGCACAAGGAAAGCGGGAAAGATGGAAGAAAAGAAAGGAGGAAGGGAAACAATATTGGAAAAATTTCAATAACTTGAAAATAAAATCAAAAGACTCACCAAGAGAAAAACATAAAAGCTACCTTTCTTAACAAATTTCATTGCACGAACACAATCCTTACATATTTTTGCACATTTTTCCCAAAATTTCCTAAAGATAGTAATGGATACTTTCTAGTAGTCCAGTCAGACCATAGTCTATGAATCATTGTAATTAAATAAAACCTGTAAGAATCAGTCCCAATAGAATATAGCGTGTTGAATCTGGGATTTTTTTTTTCTTTTTTAAAGATTTTACTTTTCCTTTTTCTCCCCAAAGTCCCCCGGTACATAGTTGTATATTTTTAGTTGTGGGTCCTTCTAGTTGTGGCATGTGGGACGCCACCTCAACATGGCCTGATGAGCGGTGCCATGTCCGCGCCCAGGATCCAAACCAGTGAAACCCTGGGCCACCAAAGCTGGAGTGCGCGAACTTAAACACTTGGCCACGGGGCCGGCCCCAGGGATTTTTTTGTAAAAAAATTTCTCCAAGAGTTAGTAGCCTTTTAGAAGACAGATTGTCTTAAGAGGGTTATTATACAAAGATTCTTGTTTAATAATAAACTTACAAGTCCTGATCTAACTATGTTCTCTGTATCACTGGACCCTTAGGTAAAACTTGAAAGAAAGGGAGTTTCAGCTCAATAGAAGAAAGAAATCATGGGGCCGGCCCATGGCCGAGTGGTTAAATTCACAGGCTCCACTTCAGTGGCCTAGGGTTTCACAAGTTCGGATCCTGGGCGTGGACTTAGCACTGCTCCTCAGGCCATGCTGAGGCGGCGTCCCACATAGCAGAACTAGGAGGACCTACAACTAAAATATACAACTGTGTACTGGGGGATTTTGGGGAGAAGAAGAAGGAAAACAAAAAGATTGGCCACAGATGTTAGCTCAGGGCCAATCTTTAAAAAAAGAAGAAGAAAGAAATCAACAATAATGTCTACAACAGGATGGGCCGCCTCAAAGGAAAGTAAGCTGCCGCTCGCTGGGGAGTCAAGCTAATACTGCATGAGTATTTGTCAGGAAATTGTAGAACAGATTTAACGTTCACTGATGGAGAAAAGTAAAGGAACTCCTTGACCAATGATTTCTCAAACTAGCCAATCAGAATCACTTGAAGAGCATGTTAAAATTCAGATTCCTTGGCCTCACTTGTGGAAATTCTAATTTAGGAGGCCTGGAATGGAGCCCTGGCATCTGTATTTTTAGAGAAATCCTCAGAAGACTCTAACGTAAAGTCACATTTGGGATCCATTACCCTATGTTGGTTTCTCAAAATGGAGGATACATGGTCTCCCCCAAATATGTCCATAGAACGTCTCCCCTCCCCTCCAGGAGCTGCAGACCTCATTTTAAGAAATATTGCACCTAATGTCAAAATGAAACAATCACTCCACATTTATGATTTTATTTTGGTAGAATTATTTTATCAGTTATAAAGATAAAACTCATATATTTTAGTAACAATACACAACTGAAAGTTTTATAGATTGTCTTTCATTTCTTGAGGCAGTGTTTTCCCAGCCAGAATACTCTTAGCTCTATTCTATATAGATATATTCTTAATAGTGAATGTGTTCACTATATTCGTAACTCAAGAATACAGTTGGAGAAATCAGTTTGAGAAACATTGTACTAGAAGTTGTCTAAAGACCCTGAGATTTAACAATCTGGTACCTGGAGTTTCCGGTTTGGGCTGAACTAACTCCTAAAGAAAGTTCTTAGGGAAAAAAAATGAAAACTGGGGGTGGGAGTGCAGGTCCAAGCCAGGGAAGCGAGCAGGTGACATATCAGTTCTCAAGGACAGGACCTGAGGCTTTTAATAAAAGCCCTTATTCAGGGCCAGGCACACCGTAGGCAATCAATAGATATTTGTTGAATGAATAAAGCGAGGAAGAGGAGGACAGACATCATGTGTGTCATAACCAGATTCTTTGCCTTTATTTGTGGCTAAGCCGGCCACATAAAAAACCTCTAAAAAACCATTTTTGGGAGAATAAGGAAATTTGAATATGATTTGAGTATCTCATGTTATTAATTTATTGCAAATCCTATTGACATTAGTTTACTGTTTTAGATGTTAGGAATTTATTATTTTTTGTGAGGTGCAATAATGGAATAATGATGATGTTTTAAAAGGTCTTTCCAGGAAGAGATGTATATTCATGTATTTATGGGTGACATTCATGATGTCTCAAGGAAAAGATGAAACAAAATTGACAAATTGTTGCTAGCTGTTGAAGATGAGTGATGTGTTTACAGGAGTTTATTATGATATACATTGTGCTATTCTTAAGTAAATAGACTCTTTTCTGACAGAATCCAATCTTGTTGTCCTAAGACATATGTATGTAATGAATTTCAACTTCGCTCCTATGTATCCAGCATGGGACTAGTTACGTAGCATCCTGGGAGAATTGAGAAAATAGTCATTAGTTACGTAGCATCCTGGGAGAATTGAGAAAATAGTCATTCAAAATACTCGAAGTGTTTTCCACGTGGTTTCTGTGGTTCCTCCTCATCAGTGGAGAAAGTTTGAGAGAGGTCTAAAACCTGTAATCCAGAGGGGACACCCAGTTAGGAAACAGCAAGGCACACCTCCTCGCCTCAGTGCACCCCCACCTGAAATGGAGATAACAGTGCCTACCTTCTAGGTGATTGGGATGAACCACCTGCCCTTCTTGTTGTCCTCGACAATTGTTTTTGCGCTGTCTGAACTTGGTGGCTTTTGACCAAGGTCAAAACAGGGGATGAAGGAAGAGAAAGCTACAGAAGAAAAACAATTACGGACATATTCCTCTGGACGCTTCTCACACTTCTCTGCTTCTCTGCTCCTTAGCCCCCACAGAACTCAGCCTCATCTCTTTTCCCCTTCTCTCCTGTCCCTAAAGCAGTGCACATGCCTTTCAAGATTTTCTGACAATGACTAGGGAGTTGAAGGGCAGGATTTGGAGGGGAAAGTGCTGGCTAGGGCTGTGCATCCCACGTGGACCGGTTTCCTATTCTGATCCCACGACTCTTTGGCCATGTGATCTTGAGCAATTACCTAACCTCTCTTAGCTTCAACTACATCTCCTGTGAAACAAAGATGGTATCACCCAACATGTTGTTGGAAGACTGAGTGAAGCATTATATGGAATGTGCCTGGTGGACTGCATGGCATACAGCAGATGCTCAATAAGTTAGTGATAAGGGCAAGAAAAGGCTCCCAGTGCTGCCTCCCTCACATCCCCCATCATAGCCGCTCAGACCTCACAGGAGGATCATTTGAACTTTGAATTCAAGGTGCTGATAATTGGTTTCTAGAAGGCGAGGTCAGGGGAGAGAAGACCCAGAGGAGGGTTGGTGTGCTTCTCAAATGACTCCCTCTATAAGAGCTGACAGTGGGGTTTTAAGTGAGGGAGATGAGAAGGAGAGTGCTTGCAAGATGGGCAAGGGGAATTCCTAGGGCAGATGGTGGGGGTGGTAGGGGAGAGGTACACTCCAGAGACATAGGTAAGACCTGAGTTACCTGTAAATACGAATGTTTCCTACAAGTAAACAGAAGAAACTTAGTACTATGTGCCGAGGATAATCCTTTACAGATATTTACAGTATTAACTCTTGTAACTCTCCCAGCAACCAATGAGGTAGGTACAATTTCATCTCCATTTTACGTATGAGTGAACTGAAGCAAAGACCCAGTAAGTGACTTGCTCAAGGTCCCCCAGCTGGTAAGTGGAGGGGCTGAGCTCAGACCAGGCAGGCTTGTTAACATCCATCCTTGAAATTGATGGTGCTTGTGTGACCCTGCGTTGAGGATGGCACAAAAAGTCACCACAGTTTGGTTGATCTTTCTTCCCCTGAAGAGTGCGTCACCCTAACAGCCCCTGGTTTTCTCAGCCAGAACATCTTGAGTCTCCAGCACGTTTTTTTTCTCCTTCAGGCTTAGTTCCTGGATCCCTCTTGGCTTGTCCATTGTCTGTTCTTAGATGGAGTGTCCTCTCTCTGTTCCAGTGTATCTGTTAGGGTTCAATCAGAGAAGAAACAGCACCACTAGGAGCAATGTAAAATAGGGACTTATAGTCACTAAATAATTTGGGGAGCTGGTTAAACAGTCTATGTACTGCTGGTCCTGCAGCCTGAAGTGTGTAGGGCAGGTAATCTGGAAGTGAAGATGGGGGACAGCAAAGACAAACTGGAAGCCACGAGCACGAAGCTGGAACCAAAGGACAGATTGGAATCAAAAGTCTCCAAATTCAAGGAAGTCGGTATCCTAAAGAAGCTGAAAGAGGCTCCAGTCGGGACTGGAGGAGCAGTGACCCAGCGGCTGCCCACACCAACAAGGTGAGCCAGCAGACAAGGCCACCAGAGGCAGGAGCTGTGACAGAGCCTCACGCCCTGCACCAGTCTACATAGAAGGAACATGGCAGCTCTTTCACTTCCACCTTCCAAATTCCACACCAGCGCTCTCCTGTAGCCCATGCCAACCCGGAACCATGCAAGAGAGGGAATTCTGGGAAATGTAGTTCCAGTTTAACTAAATTGTTAGAATCTCAAGCCACACACCTGGGATAGGATGCCCTATTTTTGCTGGGCAAGCCCCAACATTCTTTCTCTGGCTGTCAAAAAGCTGAGGGGAAAACAAAACAAAACTCCTGCCCAGGGAATTTCTTGTCTTTAGTATTTATTTTGAGTTTTGGTTTAGAGCAAAGGTGGAATTATTCCTTCTGCCAGACCCACCCAGGTCTGGGTCCTTTGCTTCTCTTCAGAACCATCCAGACCCTCTGTCCTTGGGCCTCTTCTCCCCAGCGGTGGGTTGTCACCCCAATCAAAACTCAGTTGTGATGAGCCGAGGATCCCTGACAGTCACCAGGGTTTTTGATGAGTTTGGGAAGCACAGCGGAATTTTTTCAGGGTCTTAATTATATAAGCATTATGTTCCAAAGTATATTTTCCCTTAAGTCCCGGACAGTGTCTTTTGACTTTGCCATAATGACATGAAGTAACATAAATGACAGTGTACCATTCTCATCTCCAGGGTAGGGCTAGGCCCAGAGTTGCTTTTATTTAAATACTCTAACAATTGGAGGTACCGTGGCCTAGGTTAGTGCTGTCAAACCACTGTAGGGCTGGTCAAAACTCTCCTGGTTCCCATCCCCCCAGTTTCTGATTCAAAAGGTCTGGAGTGGGGCCCAAGAACTTGCAGCTTTATCAAATTTCCAGGTAATGATGGTGCTGCTGGTCTGGGGGCCACACTTCGAGAACCACTGACCTTGTGGTTAAGAGCACAGGCTTCTGGAACGGACTCCATGGCATGGGCTCCCAATTCACCATCTGTTTGCTGTGTGACCTTGGGAAAATTACTCAACATCCCCATGCCTCAGTTTCTTTATACGTAAAATGGGGATAATAATGGCACCTACTTTGGGGAGTTATAGTGAGGATTAAATAAATTAATCCACATAAAGGACAGACACTTTATTATCCACAAAGTACTTTAGCCATAAAATGCTTTATCCACATAAAATAGGGATACAGCATATAGTAAATACTCAAATGTTTACTATTATTTTAAAACAGTGTTTTGTGAGTTAATGATTACATAGCAGATGCATATTATAAAATATTCCAGATCCGCAGATCTTTCACACTCATGAAGCCTGAGTCTAGAAGAAATTGAAGTTCTTTTCTTTCCTGAGGAAGACTCGCCCTGAGCTAACATCTGTTGCCAGTCTTCCCCTTTCTTTTTGCATGAGGAAGACCGGCCCTGAGCTAACATCTGTGCCAATCTTCCTCTGCTTCATCTGTGGGTCCCCGGCCACAACATGGCTGAGTGGTGTATGTTCCCGTCGGAGATCAGAACCGCGAACCAGGGTTGCCGAAGCGGAGTGCGCTGAACTTAACCACTAGCCACGGCACCAGCCCCAGAAGAAACTGAAGTTTCACAGTAATCAGTTGTGAAGTTTTCATGTCTCTTTATAATTGTCCCTTCGTATTTCTCTAATGATGGTCACGGAGCTTGGAAATACCAAGCAGATGCATTGGGAAAAAATATCCTGGTAGAAATAAAGAAAGTGCTAGCTCTTTTACAAAACATTTTAATGGAAAAGCGAGCTTTATTGGCGAAGTTTGAGTTTAATTTCCTAGTTGAACACAGGGTGGCAGCACCACCCGGGAATTCTGCAGGAATATTGCTCTGAGCCGCCTCCCCGCCCCCTCCCGCACGAGGCTGGGTTTTTGCACTTTGAACCTTATTTCCTGAGTTTCACACGCTTTCCTATCCTTGTTTAGCCTTTAGACCATCAGTGGACCGTGCCCCTTTCCTGTTGGGGACGCCAGTGCCAGTTCATGGGTTTGAAAAAATAGTTTCACCTCGATCTCAAGACTAACCTGATGTGTGACTCTCAACAGGTCCCAGTGCCCCTCTGAGCCTCAGTTTGCCTGTGCACAACGAGGCCAGTGGAATAGGGGCTCTCCGAGGTCATCAGCCCCGACAGCACGGGGTTCCAAGTCCAGAGTCAGGGCTTCTATATGACCTCAGCAGGTGGGTCGTGACTGGCGCCGATGGGCGCTCCGCCGAGAGTCCCCGCAGCAGGAAGGCAGGAGCGCGGGGCAGAGCCAGCGGGTGCGGGAGACGAACAGGGCGCCCTCGGGAGCACCCTGTTTACCCGGGCCCGGGAAAGGTAAAACATTGTGTGCTGGAGTAAAACGAACCAGGATGCATTAGGAGACGCAGTGGAAAATCACATCCATTTTTAACATAAAACTGATGTCGTCAACCCAAACTGCATGCCTCAGAAGACTTTTTCAGGGGCCGCCCGTCCACTCTGTTCTGTCTTTGGCGTTACTTCGGTGGAGACTGTCGCTTCGGGCAAATGTTTTGTTTAATTGAAGCCTAACGGGTTTTGTTCAACAGAAACTTCTTTTGGAGGAGGATGCTCTGGCGCCCTCTTGTGCCTTATCCCGAGTGAGGCGTCACTCGCCTTCCAAAGGCTTCGTTTACAACCTCTCACACCAAAGGATCCAGTTTTTGCCTTTTGAGTCCCATGTTACCCTTCTTCTGGATGATTACTTTTACAGCTAACTCTGATCTCCCAAGTAGCGGTTATGAGATTCCGCGTTGGTAATATGGACTCCAGGCAAGCTTAGAGCGGAAGCACTAATAAGCTAACTTGATGGAACTGCCAAGTCTGGTGCCGGCTCATTTCGTAGGAAAACAACACGCCTCTGGAGAGATGGCTGTCAGTCCTGCGGGGAGAGGGAAAGTCTGCGAGGAGTCTCACATTTTTTTGAGCTTGGGTCCAGGTAGCTGGCGCTCTGGAATCCTCTCCCCTTTCGTCTACCTGCTCTTTCCAGCTCACACAGTATGACTAGGTGTCTGCCTCAGTTCATGTTTAAGATGCCAATTCCTCACAGGCGGGCTCCCCTTGGGGCCCTGACATCTATCCTAGCGCTCCTGGTGAGCAAGGGACCAGATCCTGATCCTTGTGCCTGGAACGGTTGCTAGAATACCAATACTTCTCCAGGGAACGGCTGCATTAGAACCTTCTGGGATGCTATACATCCAGACTCTGGGAGTCCAGCCCTGGACCAGCTGCATTAAAATCTCTGAAGGTAGAGATGAGAATTATGCATTTTAAACAAGATCCCCAGGTGACTGTTAGGCAAGCCAAGATTTAGGAATTGCTTCACAGATTAGCAACTCATCGTCACGATACCCTCAGTCCACATAGCAAGTGTCTGCATTTTTGCTGCCACTTCCCCACACCACCGCCAACAGGGCTGCACCTTCTTAGATCTGAGCACCAGCCAGGGTGCATGAGCGTGAACCTCCTGGCTTCTGTCCCGGGAAACATGTCACAGAGTAAATTTCCCAGCTCTTTCCTGGACCCTTTTTTTCTTCCATCAGGCTAGTGTTTCTGAGGTTGCAGCAAGACTCTGCTGAACAACTTCAACTTACATCCCTGACATTAAAATTAAAATGTCAAGAAATAAGAAATTGAACTTCTAAGGTCGTAAGAGCATATGTATTCTGATATATGCATAGTCCCAGAATCAGTTATATTTAGGCAAACTAAAAGCTACCTACAGAAACAATTGTCTGGTGTTTTGGTAGCTTTGCTCGGCCGAGGCACCTTTTGTCTATTTGTGTCTGTCTTTCTGTCTGTCTCTCTTTCTGTCTGTGGTAGGCGTGGTGAGCCATCATGCACTTGACATTAACAGGGATAAGCTGAAACTGAGTATCTGCCATTTCTGTCAGACAGAAACGGTGAGGTCAGGGGCCTGAAACCCACTCTACGGTTCCGGGACTCAGTGTTGGGAAGGACAGTGAAGGCCAACTTCTTCCCCAGGGCAGGACTTCCTTCCCCTTGGGCTCACTCAGGGGACATTATCTCAGATGCTGACTTCCGTGGCTGTCTGCCGTTGGACCTACTTCCAGGTATACTTTTCATCTGAGTACCCCAGGGTTTCCTTGCCTAGCAAGTCTCACAAAAGAGGCAGAGAAAAAAATAACCTATGAGCTCACTAACACTGATCACTAGTGTTACAAGTGCTGACAATCACATCTTAGACTTTAGTGCATTGCTGCCCAACACGGTAGCCACAGGCCACCTGTGGCCACTGAGTGCTTGAAATGTGGCTCATGTGGAATGTGCTATATATTCTGGAGACATGGTAAGAATGTAAAATATCTCATTAGTGTTTATATATGTATTGACTGCAAGTTGAAATGATAATATTCTGGATACATTGGGTTAAATAAAATACACTGTTAAAATTAATTTCACTTGTTTATTTGAAATCTTCAAATTTGTCTACTAGGCAATTTCAAATTACATAACATGGCTCATACCCTACTGGTCTGAACCTGTGGTATTTATCTGATGATCTCTACCGTAACTAACCTTTTGGGGCTTAACCACTTCCCTAAGCTTCATGATCTGTCAAGTTTCTCCTATTTCTTCCCCTCCTGGCCAGCCCTATCGTATTGCCTATAGAGCTGTGTGACCCATGACAGCTCTTGCTAGAATGCCCCAAGCTGCTCATTCCATTGCTGCATAACTTTAGCTGTTAGAAGATTCTTTCTTATATATAAGCCAAAATATGCTTTCCTGGGACAGCTTTCTATGAGAATAAATGAGTCGTGGTTAATGACTAGATAGCAACAAATTTATGCCATTTATTTAACCAATTCCCTATTGCCAATTATTTGGTCTGTGTACAAGCTTCTAAAAATTATACTCTGATAATCATCCTTACAGTTAAATTTGTATATACATATTAAGTGATTTTCTTTGGATAAATTCTTACTAATATAATCTTTAAAGCATTTGACATCATTCTGTATTACATGAACAACATTAGATATTACAATTTTTGAAGTCTTTATAATTCTTATAAAATGGTAATTTTGTTAAAAATTTTACTTTAAAATGGTAATTTATTATTTTCCTTTGCTTTAGTGGAATGATATTTTAACTTTCTTGGTTTATTTAGAGCTTAATTTCTTCTCAAGCTTTCTTTCTGTTGATGGTAGAAATTAAATAGAATTCAGATGCCAGTTTCTATGTCTGTGTTTCCTTCTAGAGGTATTCTATGCATTTTCCATACAAAGAAACCACACAATATACATTTTTCCATGCCTTTCATTTTCATAATTATTATTATTTTTTAAATCCTAGATTGGCTTCTTTTTTACCCTCCTTAGTAAATGTCGCCTGTTACCTTAGTTTTGCAATAACCACAGGACCCACACATATATAGTCAATTGATTGTTGCAAAGGCAATTCAGTGGAGAAAGGACAGTCTTTTCAACAAATGGTGCTGGGACAATAGGATATACACAGATAAAAAGATGAATTTAGACCCTTACATCTCATAACACACACAAAAAAATAACTCAAAATAGATAATGGACCTAAATGTAAAATAGAAACTATAAAACTTGTAGAAGAAAACATAGAAGAAAATCTTTCTGGTTAGTCAAAATAAGACCAAAAATGGTCCTAGATATGACACCAAAAGCATGATCCATAAAAGAAAAATCTGATAAATTAGACTTCATTAAAATTAAGAACTTCTCTTCAAAAGACACTGTTAAGAGAAATAAAAGATGAGACACAGACTGGGAAAAAAATTTGCAAATCATATTATCTGATAAAATTCTTGTATCCAAATTATATAAAGAACTCTTGAAACTCAATAATAAAACAACCCAATAAAAAATGGGCAAAAGATTTGAAAAAACATTTCACCAAAAAGATGTTCAATATCAAATAAACACCTGAAAAGGTGATTAACATCTTAGTCCTTAGGGAAATGCAAATTATTACCACAATGAGATACTTCTACACATCTATTTGGATGGCTAAATTTAACAAGACTGACCATAGCAAGTGTTGGTGAGGATGTAGGACAGCTGAAACTCTCATATACTGCTGATAGGAGTGTAAAATGGTACAACCACTTTGGAAAATAGTTTGGCAGTTTCTTAAAAAGTTAAACATACACCTACTATGTGATCCAGCCATTCCACTCCTAGATATGTGCCTAAGAGAAAGGAAAGCCTGTGTCCATTCAAAGACTTGTACATTAATGTGCATAGCAGCTTTATTTCTAATAATCCCAAACTGGAAACAACCCAAATGTTCATCAAGAGATAAACAGATAAACAAACTATGGTATATCCATACAATGTAATACTACTCAGTAATAAAAAGGAATGAACTAGTGGTACATGCAATAACAGATGAATTTCAAAAGAACTATGCCAAATAAAAGAAGCCAAATAAAAAAGAATATTTCTTGAACAATTTCATTTATATAGAATTCTAGAAAATATAATCTAATCTGTAGTGACAGAAAGCAGATTAGTGGTCACCTGGGAACAGGGTAAGGAGGAGAGAGGCCAGGAAACTTTCAGGGGTGATGGATGGATTCATTGTCCTGATTGAGGTGGTGGTTTTATGGCTACATAGCTATGTTTAAACTTATTTAGTTATACGTTTTTAATTTGGACAGTTTATTGTGTGTCAATTATGCCTCAGTAAAATTGTAAAAAAAAATCTTATTACTTACTAAAGCACAACCAAAATCTAACATCTCCAACATGGGAAGAGCTCTTATCTCTTCTCTGCTCCCTACTTTACTCCTTCTTGTGAGAGGAGCAATGACCAATCCTACTGGGGAGATTGGAAAAATGAACACATGTGACTGCTCCCCTTGCTTTTGGAGCAGCTTGTCTCCAGTGCTCACAATCTAACTACACCTGTGGGAAAATTCCTGGAATGAGAATTATCCCTAAAAGGGAAGGGATTTAAGTTTAATTCTGGAAGGAGATTTAAAGAGCCCAATTGTGACTATTGTTCAAGTTACACTTTTCAGTTCAGCCTCATCGCCAATGAAGCTGACATTTTGATCTCCGTTGGTCTCATTCTTGTATCTTTCAGTTGGTTCTTACATGGGGAACCTTAACTTCTTAAACATCACCTTCTCCTCCTTCACAGACTATTGGGAAAACAGTGGCACAAAGGTGTGAATCAGTGATTTTGCTCATAAATATTCGACAATCTGGTATCTGAGAGGAAAAATACCCAAGATTTGTAGTATTTGCCTGTTTGTGTGGTGTAAATATTCTCATCATGATGGATTTCAAGTTACCAACATGAAGTTGCTAAATGCAGAGCTAGGAAGAGAGGCACATGGTTGGCTCTTGTCAGCTGATACAAACCAGCTCCTGCACAACAGTGAGAGAGCTCAAGGCAGAACTTTGACAACGATCCAATGTATGAGCCGCCTGCTAGCTACCAGCAACGAATAATAATAATAATAATAATACCCTATGATGAAATAATGTTATGCCATTTTTTAACCATTTTCTGCAAGTAGAATACGGAATTTGGAATCAGGTTCAAATTCTTGCCACATTAGTTGTTCATTTGTTCAACAAACAGGCAACACCTAAGGGCCAGGTCCTAGTCTAGGTGCCATGGATAGAGTGGTAAAGAAGACAGACAAACTTCCAGCTTCATGAAGCTTACTAAATTCCAGTGGTGAAAAGAGACAATAAATAAGGACAGTAGTGACTAGTGCTATAAAGAAGAATAAAGAATAACACAGGGTAAGGGGGAAAAGAGGGTGCTTTTTCCTTTTACCCTGAGGGGGCAGTGGGGGACTGTTGTAGACAGGGTGACTGGAAAGCCTGTCAGGGCAGCGAAATTTGAGCAGAGTCAAGAGTGATGGGAGGGAGTATCCAGGGAGAAGGGTTGGGAAGAGAATTCTAGGCAGAGAGGATAGCAAGAGTAAAGACCTTCAGGTGAGGAGGTTTGTACAAGGCCAGAAGGCTGGTAGCTTTTTGTGTGGGAAATTGTGGAAATTCACATCTATTCTCAGTGAATTAAGAGTCGAGTGCACAGTAAGAGTGGAGCAGAGGAGAGAGGTCTGAAATAGTGTGTGAGAGAAGGGGAGAGTGAATCGACCGGAGAAAGGTAGGACTGTGGGGCAATGCCAAGGATCAACTTGAAGTTTGTGATGGTAAATTTAAATGAGAATAGTTTCCCTGGTTGTTTATTCTTCTCCAGCCACAGTGCAACTGGGTGCAGGCATGGAGAAAGTGGGATTGGCTCAATAAAGGGATAATTTAAAAGATGATGGAAATGACTGCACCAATTGAACCTTAAGAAGGTCAGTCAGCTTCTGCTTTTGCAATTTTGAGAGCCCTTGAGTCAACAGGTCCAGCTACTTTGCTGGAGAGACCACATGGAAAACCTTTTGGAGGGGCCACGCAGAGAGGCCGAGGCTCTGGGACTACTTGGGGAGAGAGAAAACTCTCACCTTCCCAGAATTCCAGCTGAGCGCAGCCTCCCTGCTGCTCCCAGCACCTAGGTGCCAGACATGAGAGTGAAGACATCTTGGACATTCCAGCCCCAGTCATGTGCCTGCAGCTTCATGACAGACTACTCGTGACACCAGCAGAAGAACCATTCAGCTGATCTTTAGTCAACTCACAGAATCATGGGAAATAATAAAATGGTGGTTGTACTAGGTCGGTAAGTTTTGTGATAGATAACTAAAACAGCACCCAGGCAGCACCCCTCCAGAGAGGGAGCCTGGAAATAAACCTTTCAACGTCACTCTTCTCCCTCCCTCTGATCTCCTTGTAGGTGCTCCCCGTAAGTTGAACCTAGTCCAAGGCAGAAGGAAAAGGAGCCTTCGATGTTGTCCATAAAGGTCAGACTCTCAGGTCACAGAGCAAGGGAGAGAAGAATGGAGATTGGCTCTGGAGAGGCAAACAGAAGAGATTCAGCAGGGGCCACCCCCTTCCCCTTCAGCATCAACTCTAGCTCTCCGTGCAAGTGAAAGTTGATCTCCCTGTTACAGAACACATCGAAGTCCTTCAGCTTCCGTATTATCATGGGAAAATGTTTGTTCAGTCATAGTCCCACCTGGAACCCAAAATCTTAGCCAACACTAGTGTTCTTCATATCAGGTGGCTAAGATGAGGGGAGAAGGATGTGGAAAAATAATCAATTAATATCAAACCTAGCTATTACCATCCCTGCTTCTTGACTGGTCATGAGGTCTAAGCAAGTGGTAATCATATCTGTTTTCTTCCACATTCACTTCATGTTTCTCTTACCCTCTGATACCACCTCAGCTTCATGGGGTTCTTTACCTGGTAGGGTGACTCAAACCTTCATTCCTGTGGGATTTGAGTCCTTACTGGTCCTGTTTTATTCCATTGCTACAGTTTCCCGTTGACTAGGACAATTGGCCGAGTGAGTACTAGGAGGCACCTAGTGATTCCTCTGGGCTCCAAATATAGTTCTGTCCCATCCTTGTGTAGCAGCAACCCAGTTTCTCCCTGGTAATCAGGATCAATGACCCTGGTCAGCACAGTAGCCCCATTCTCCACATTGCTCCCTTGGCCACTAGGATCTTTAAATCCAAAGAGGCCAAGGTCATAGGGACAAAAAGCAAAATTCTTCAAGTGTAATAGTGAGAGGTGCCACTCCCAGCTCCAACCCTTGGTTCCCAGGCCCATGCATTCTGGCTAAGGAAAAGAAGACATGATATATTGGTCACTGGTTAAAAGTATACCTCAATTTACAGATCAGCAGCCCAACCTCACAGGGTGATGTCTCCCAGCTGCTTTCAGGCCTAAGCCTTCACCAGGCCACTCCACTGTTCTATTAAACCACTACTTCTGTGTAACGGGGCATGTGGTAAGATCGGCGACGTTCACAGATGCTGAGGGCATGGCTCCACTTCTTTTGCCATAAAAGGCAGCCCCTTCTCTTAGGCAATGTTGTGTGGGACATGATGATGGTGGATAAGTTGTTCCAAGAGCCTGAAAACAGGTAGAACTGGCAGAAGCACTGAGATCTTGCCACTGATTTTCCAAAACTAATCTTTCCAAGTCCCTGGCCAACTGAGTCACTGTCCATGTGTCACTATTGTTCTGTACCTCAGGCTATCTCTTTTTTCACGTGAAGTGGGTACAGCATCCAGAGTTCTGCCCATAGGGATTTCCCTTCACCGTTATCTTTCTGGGCCACCCTTTGGCAGAGTGCTAGTGTAGCAGCCACCCACTTCCAGCTGGTCCTGGCATAACAGGAAGATCCATCAACAAATCTAGCCTGTGTTTTCCTCTATTCACTGGCCCTGTAGAACTCAATCACAGGGCCCTGGTGTAGATTGAGAAAGAGGCTGCAAAGCAGTAGGAGCAGGAGCATGGGGCTCTGTGCCACCTGCTTATGCAATTTCCTTGTGTCTTCCAGACCTGCTTACGAAGCTTTCTAAGAAATCTGCTGTGCAATCTTGATATTTTGGGAATATATAACACCCGGTTCATGATGGGCAGGTTGGGTCACAGGTGTCTGTTAGGGCTCAGTAGCTATCCAGGAGATCTCTTTCTTTTTCTTTTTTTCTTTTTTTTTTTTAATAGAGAATAGTTGAAGACCTTTCAGGAGCTGAGTCTTTCCAATGAGGGATGCAGCCCATGGTGACTTCTTAGAGAGGGAGCTGGAGGAATAAATATCCTAACCTCACTCTCCTCCCTGTCTCTGATCAGCTTCCGGGTTTGCCATGGGCTGAAGCCAAATGGAACCCAGAGAACAAGAGTTCATTGATGACCGTAGGCCATTTATGTCACCCTCCTAGGGTGGAACAGGGTGCAGGGTGGGTCTGGAGGGGAAAATAGAAGACAATCTGCATGTCAGATGAATATAGTAAAGAGAGGAGTGAGGGAATTAAGAATAATGTGAGAGATCATAACATTTAAGCTGGGTAAGGTGAGTGATGAGGACATGGGAAGAGGGGAAAGGCAGTGAGAAAGATGGAGGATCCTATAACTATAGATCCAAATGGAGGTTACAGAGCATTCAAGGGGGGATCCTAGAGCAAATTGGAAAGACAGAAGGTGCCCATAAGAGAAAGTAACTGATCAAAATAGAAATTCTGTGTGAAATATTGGTTACGATAAGGTTTAGACAGCAGTGTCCAATGGAAATTTCTGTGATGATGGAAATGTTCTATATCTGTGCTGTCCAGTACTGTAGCTACCAGCCACGTGTGGCTACTGAGGACTTGAAATGTGGCTACTGTGACTGAGAAACTGAATTTTTAATTTTGTTTAATTTTAATTAATTTTAATTTAAATAACCGCGTGAGGCTAGTGGCTACTGAATTGGACAGTACACATCTAGAGTATGATCACGTCAGCGGCTTTATGGGGTAGGGATACAATATTAGTGCAATGTTAGTGATGGAAAAAAGGAAGGTGGCGAAGCAATGCAATGTGATGAGTTACTGAGCTGGTCACAGCTTCACAAGAAAGCACACCAGTTGCATGGCCACGCAGGATGTCTCTGGAGGTGCGAGGTGGCACCGTTGTTTGTGGGAACAGTCCATCACTGGAGGAAGGAAGATGCACTTGTTTACTGGTCCATCCCATCTTCTGCCTCCCATTGTCCAAGCTTGCTGCACAAGGCGTTAATTACCCCACACTTCCGGGTTGTGCCGGGAAAGCTGCACAGTTCTTCACCTAATCTGGAAGTGGTGGGAGGAGCCAGTTGGTGGTCAGTTTCGACCTGGGTGGTGAAGCTGCTGCTTTATGAGTGGGCAAGAGGGAGGTCAGGCCAAAGCCATGCCCTCACCCCAAGAGAGTCGCAGTCAGCTGAGATGTTAGGAGATTAGAGGTCAAGATTGGGGGGTGGGGTCGGGAAAGCCTGACCTAGGAGTTGGGCATTGCATAAACTCAGTCTGGTCTGTTGTGAGTGACCTTGGGCAAGTCACCTACGCACTTTGAGCCTCAGTTCCCTCTTCTCTACAACAGGTAACAGTGCCTACCTCATACGCTGACTCACATTATTCATATATACTACTCAGCATTGTTACAAGAGCTTGGTAACAATAGGTGAGGCAGCTGTCATTTTTGCCAAGACGCAGATATGGAAATTGAGGCTAAGAGAGATTGAATGAAAATCCTCAATCACTGGCAGAGCCAGAGTTCATCTCACCCAGCCTCTTACTGTTTTCACCATGTTGCCCTTCTCCTTGAGATTTCCTCGGAGGACTGAATTTCAAAAGTCTCAGAGAGAGAAAGATTCAAGCCGGAAAGTGAGTTAAAAGTTATGCACCGGTGCAGGTATTATGAAGGGTAAAATGTGCGTCCAAAAACAGGCAATTCTAAAATTACTTAATTGATTTTATAAAGCAAAATGTGCTTTGAAAGCAGTTTACAAGTATAGTTTTAGAAGTACTCCAACAAGTGTTTGCTTTGGATTAATTTATTTCTGTTGAATCGTAGCAATGTGTGGAAGCGTAAAATATAAGACCCATTCTTCCAAACAATTTTCAGGGCAATCGGTCTCATTTGCCAAGCGAGTGCAGCATGAGAGCTGCTATTGGAGATCACACGTGCTCTGACTTGTCAAGACCCACCTTTGTGTCTCCTCCCGCCAAGTGACAGGCTCAGCTCTCGGGATCTCTAATCTCATGGATCCAGTTGCCTCTCAGGCTGTTACAGCCTCACTCACACAGCTCCCGCTGGCAGCAAACCTCATTAAGATCCCAGTTCCGAGGAAAAGAAAGAGGGATGAAGGGATTAATTAATCAAAGGCCCTGCAGACAGCTATGAGCAAGACTCAAGAATCAAAATGAACTGTGAACTGTTCATTTTTCTGCACTTTCTGTAAATACAGAGAGAAACCCAGACTCTCTTAAAATAGGGTTATTACTTTCTAGTCTTCAAACTCCGAGTAAGGCGATATGAGAGTGACGTTAATGTCATGGAGGGAGTCAGATCTTTTAAAGAAGCACCCAGCAGAAACGAGCCATTTCATAGTTGAAGACTCTTCCTCCTAATTGGGTGGACTTCATAAGGCTATGGAAACAGAAACTGGCACCTGTTAACGGATGCTATTGCTCTGAGACGCTAATGTCAGAAGGGATGAGATGGTCATCAAAATGTTAGACTAAGTCAGGTGTCCTGGACACCCAGGACCTCTTCATCATGAGGGAAACAAACCGAGGTTCTGTGTCTCCAAACTTACTGCCCTAACCCTAAACCAGAAGGCGGTGGCAGAGCCAAAAAGGTACCATGGTAATCAATTTGGGCTCCTTTCGTGGAGAGCTGAATGGTGGGCTACTGTTGATGTGAACACTTACATGAATTATCTCCGAGGCCATTTTTAGTGATAAGGAAGAAGACTCTCAATTATGTTATACTCGAGGATCGCAGAATGCTATGTAAACAAATTCCAAATAAACCTTCCCCTAAAAGAGATAGAAACTGCTGTCAGAGAAGAAACAAGTCTGCCTCATGTGCTATGTTCTTATGTCCAGAATAGAGCCTTCCGTGGACACAGTAGGACTCAACAAATCTTTGTCATCAATGCTGATAGTAAAAAGGCCTGATTTAAAAAGAAAATTGAGTGGTCAAGGGATGAACACATGCATACTTTGACTTCACATTATCTTGTGAGGCATTAACCGGCTGTCATTTCGTGAACAGCTGTGAAAAAATGCTTCAAAACTATTGAGTCTTCTTTGGACTAATTCTCATTTCATCTCCTCTCCTTTTTCCAACATTTACAAATATCACTTAAGGTTCTGCTCCTTGCTCATCGTGTGATGTTGAGAAAATGACGTAATTTCTTTGATCATCTATTTCTATATTTTTGACATAGAGATGATGATAATACCTACTTCACAGGGGTGTTCTAAAAATTAAATGAGTTATTGTCTGTGAATATCCTCGAAGAGTGCTTAGGAATCCACAGGATTACTGGGTTTAAAAACATGCAAAAGTGACAGTTAAGTTTTATTGATGATATTTAAAATTTCTCTTTTAAATCTGGTGTTAATATCAGAAGAAAAAGGGAAAGAAACAGGAAATAGTCCATATTTTGAAATAAAATCTTTAAAAAAAAAAAAAAAAAAGGGGGCTGGCCCCGTGGCCGAGTGGTTAAGTTCGCGCGCTCCGCTGCAGGCGGCCCAGTGTTTCGTCGGTTCAAATCCTGGGCGCGGACATGGCACTGCTCGTCAGACCACGCTGAGGCAGCGTCCCACATGCCACAACTAGAGGAACCCACAACGAAGAATATGTACCGGGGGGCTTTGGGGAGAAAAAGGAAAAAATAAAATCTTTAAAAAAAAAAAAAAGAAATAGTCCATATTTTGGAAGAATTTTGGGAGAAATCAACGACATATGATCTAAAACTTTTTCTCAGATTTAGGCCAATTATATCTTTCCTGAAATATGGGCAGTTTGAATTTTCTTTTGTTTTTGAAGAATTTTGTTTAAATCGAAGACTTTTAGACATCTAGATTTTTCAGAGCAAATACAAAACATGAGGAAAAGAAATCTTGCAGCATTTCTGGTTTCATCTGGATCTGAATTTATAGATCCTTATGTCTGTTTCATAATTTTTTTGGAAAATGGGGCAGACTGTTTAACTGTCATGAATCTTGTCATTCTCAATGAAAATTTTTTGCAAAAAAACCTCATGCAATAAGTTTCTGCTAATAAGTCTAGAGATGAGTGGAAGTCAAATCTTTTAAAAAAATCAGCAGCAGCGATAAATATTTAGTGATTGCCTACTATTTTATGCAATATACTAAGCAATGGGAATATAATTCAAGCTTTCAGGAAACTTACATTCAAGTTATTCAGATGGAAAGTTAGGAGAGTTGATTATGAGTGCATTATTCTATAAGAAAAAAA